TAAAGTGATGGTAAAGTAGGAAAGAGAAAGAAGTTTGTAAAAAGTAAGTGGGGTAAAAGTAATAAAAGTGGGGGTATTTTCTCAAAAACTTTCCTTAAAGGGAAATGAGACAAATAAAAAAAAAGTTCCAAAAAGGAAAGAAGAACTAATCAAAAAGAATGGAGGGAGTATATTCTACAAAATTTTCGAATCAATCACATCAAGAGTAATTTTTTAGAAAAGAATACTCTTATAGTATACGAGTACAAAACACAAGGCAACACATCATCTTTAACTATTTAAAAGTAATACTCCGTAAGTTTTTGTTACGGTACTCCAGCTCAAAAGTCTATGATTTTTCCATGACCATAATGGCATAATGTACTATAACAAGCTCTCGTATAATTCAATTCACATACTGAAGTGATTCTTTAACTATTCAAATGATTTTTTGAAGGTAACTGTAAAGTTAAACAACGCAGTACATTTCGGAAAATCATTTGACTGCCTTTCCGGTTGAATTTTTAGCTGAAATTTGGTATGGGTAAACTAGACATAATGAAGAAGATGCTCAAAAAATTTCATAAAAAAATTCCACCGGAAACCGCCCCAATTAGCGACGGCCGGGCAGAACCTCTTATATAAGGGGCTAATTGAACACTTTAAGTTAGTTCAAAGGCCTATTTGACCCTTTAGGCTATTTTTTAATATTCAGGGAGTAGTTTTTAAAATTAACCGTGGACACCAATAAACAAATTAGTACTGTATATTTATATAAATATACATGGATGTAACAAATCAATTCAATATCGGTTAAAAGAGAAATTTAATGCTCTTAGAATTTGAATATCTTCAATGTTATTTATCTTTTTATAGTTTATGTTGATATAATAAGAGTAATGCCAATGTGAAAAAGTATGAGAGGGTAAAACATAATTAAATATAGGAAAAAGTAGCAAATCTGATCTCGAACAAACTTAAAAAATGCAAATCATCCCTTATATAGGAGACTCTGTACGAATTTTTTGAGGTTCCGGTGGAATTTTTTGATGAAAATTTTGAAAATCTTCTTCATTATGTCTAGTTTATCCATACCAAATTTCAGCTACAAATTCAATCGGTAAGGCAGTCAAATGAATTTTTGAAATAACTGTGCAGTTAAACAGTATATTTCATAAAATCATTTGACTACCTTCTGGGTTGAACTTTTAGCTGAAATTTGATATGGATAAAATAGACTTAATGAAGAAGATGCTCAAAAAAATCATAAAAAAATTTCACCGGGAACCACCCCAAATGGCGACGGCCGGATAGAGCCTATATAAGGGGTGATTTGCACTTTTTAAGTTAGTTCGAGGGTTGATTGCTACCTTCCCCTTTAAATATAGAATAAAATGCATAAATGATCTTTAAACTATTGTTATCATATCATTTTGGTCCTTAAACTATCGTTATTAAATATATCATTTTAGTCCTTATTCTATTTGATTTATATTAATCAAGTCCTTCAGTTAATTCTTTTTGTTTAAATTGACGGTAGAGCAAATGTGATATCCTAATTTTTACACAATTTGGTACTACACAAATATTAATAATTTTTTAGTAGCTAATCTAGTTTCAGAATTTTACATTATTATATCTTTATTTTCATGTGTCCAAATGAAATTTGATTTTTTTTATGTTTCTATTTTTCAATTATTAAATTTATAGTTATTTCATTTTTAATGTGTTATTTATACATTGTAATATTAATTAAATATTTACATAATGTTTAGTTATTTCTATTTATAGAGTTATTAAATGCTTCACTAACCAAGACAACATTTTTTTTCACTTTTTTTTGACTCTAAACAGTTTTTATGTGATTTTCCACCATACTCTCTGTATATACAAAGATGCTTACATAATCATTAATCATTATTGATTATGAAGTTATTAAATGTTTCATAAATTAATAGAATATTTTTTCATTTCTTTAGACTCTATATAGTTTTTTATTTGGTTTTCCACCATATTCTCCTTGCATACGCAAAACTAATGATTAGTAAAACTCCCAAACTTAAGTACTTCACGTCAGTTGGCGGACCCACTAAGGGTCCCACGGGGTCCCGGGACCCCGTGGACTTCCAAAACAATACCTATATATATTTGTTATATAAAATAAACTACTTATGGTATATATACAAAAAAGCACTGCATTGTGACACAATGGATGCAGTAGCGGACTGGGAGCAAGGAGATGCTGGATGCACTACCTCCTCAGAGGTCTAGGGATCGACTCCCCTGGGCATATGCTTTTTGCAACAAGAGATTCTTAGCTACTTTTCGCAACAAGAGATTCTTAGCTACTTTTTGCAACGAGAGATTTTACTACCCATAGTATAATTGTAACAATACACAAACATGACATATCTTTTATCTTAAAGTAAGATTAAATTATTTTGCTACTGAATAAATTTATAGAAAAGGCTGAAAAATATTTGGTGCGGCCAATTAAATATAAGTGTAAAACATTCAGACATTAAGTCTAAATAAACATTTAAACCTTTACGTAATTAATGTGCACCTTTATTCAAGAAAAATAAAGTTTATACATAGTATTACATTTGTAAAAATAAGACAGGATTAAATTATCTTGAACTTTTACAAGAATATTTTTCAAAATTCGAGATATAGAATATTGGTGTCACATGAAAGATCAAACAAATTATTTACTTTGATATATTTTTTACTAAACAGAGCACACATAAAAAGGTGTAATATTTTTAATAAAAAAAATAGTTAGCCACATGTAATATCATTCATTATGTACTTCAAAATATGTGCATTAATTATGGAACATCATGCTACTTTAATATTTTACTTCTTTTTTATTAATTTTTTTATTGATTAGAGTTACATTGGAGTAGGGACCCCGTGACTCTGATTTTCTGGGTCCGCCACTGCTTCACGTGCTATGTACGTGTGGAATGAAAACTTCAGTTTTAGTTGCATAGCAGGAAAATCTTCTGCATAGTGGTAATATTTATATTTAATATTTAACAAGGAAAATTCCTAAATTAATGTGATTATAAAAAATTGATTTAAATTAGATCAATATACTATAATAGCTTAATAAATAAATTTTTAATTAGAGCATCTACTGACGTAATATTCATAATTATTATATCGTTAAAAAAATGAATAAGTGATTACACACACACATATATAAAGACCCCAAATATTTTATAAACTATATCTAGTAAGTTATACTTTAATTGAAAATTTGAACACTATTAATTCGTATCAGGAATATGTATGTAATGATGTTTTTAATTGGACTATTTTCAGTCATTGACCAGATCAAACCAGACCAGACCAGACAAAACAAGACTTGGACAATTATAAAATACACAGACACGAGACGTTTACCAGACCAGACCAGTTCAGACCAGATTAGACCAAATCAGACCAGAAAATTTTAGTCCAAATAAAAACATCTTAATGATACATTATTAAATTATAACTTTATCTAATGCGTTATATTATGATTTGATAGTAATTTTCATTCTAATTTATTTAGATATTAAATCATATCAGAAAATTTAGAAGTTATATTTTATCTAATACGTATGTTTATTTACACATACATACTTAACGTCAAAATATTAACAGAAGGACCGAATTAATATGGATTAAATAGATTAGCACATTCCGTTTGTTTAACGTCAAAATATTAACAGAAGGACCGAATTAATATGGATTATATAGATTAGGGACTAAAATGATAGATTTATTAGTTCGAGGACCAAAACGATATGATGCTAATAGTTAGGGACTATTTATGCATTTTACTCTTAAATATAAGATAAAAAGGTAGAAAGATGAAGTTGAAAAATTAGGAGACATAAAATGTTCCTAGTTGGATGGATTAGCAATTCCAAATCACACCTGGACAAAATAAGACCTAGACAATAGTAAAATGCACATAAAGCAGGTATATATTATACTACGTATCAGACTAGACCAGAAATTCTCGTTCGGATTAAAAACATTCATAATATGAAGAAGCTAAGTAAAATTTACCAAAAATGATTCCAACAATTGACCCATTAATTTGATTGATTTACCTTTTGATTAAGAGAGAGAGAGAGAGTAAGCTTACCGAAATTGAAAGTGTTACGACTATCTGATCACTTTCAAAAGGGGTAGTGCTCAAAGTATTTTATACACGAGTATTTAATTAAATTTTGATATTTTTTAATACTTACACTTTTATATTAAGCACAAAAAACTTTAGTTAAAAATGCTATGTCATTTTTTTACTATCTATCCATTAAAAATGTTAGGTGTTTTGTTTGAGGTTAGACATTTTTAGTTTTTTGTTATGTTTGTTTTTTCTCAAGTGTAATAGTGTAATACCTCTCGTGGGGAATCTAGAAAAACTACTTATTGGGAGCAATCTTCATAGAACATGAACAATTTATTCAATCCACCAATTACCTAATTCGGGCTCCATGATGAAATACAACTTTTTTTACATAATAAACAACGATTTCAATTATATATATATATATATATATATATATATATATATATATATAGACAATATACATAGACAATAATTCATGTCCAGCCAGCCTGACGGGAATCGCCGTCCGGCTGAGGCTATTACGGACCCTTTCTGGTGGAAATTTTTAATGAGATTGTTTTAGCACGTTCCTCATCAAGAATAGTTTATACCCACCAAATTTCAGTTAACAATTCAATCGGCAAGACAGTCAAATAATTTTTTGAAAATCACTGCGCAATTTATATTTAGCAGCGCTTCTGTCATGCCGGCCTAACAGGACTCGTCGTCCGTCCAAGGGCATTTGAGGCCCTTCCTGGTGGATTTTTTTGATAAATGTTTTTGAGCATGTTCATCATCAAGTGTAGTTTACCCATACCAAATATCAACTAAAATTTCAATCGGAAAAACAGTCAAATAAATTGTTGAAAAAACTTGCGCACGTAATTATCACCGGCGTGATATACTAGTTTACAAAGCCCAAAGTCGTCTCTCCTTCCCCTTCTAGTTTAGCTACTATAGTACCGGGCCTACCGGCATGATATACTAGTTTGTTGGCTTGTTCATAAAACAACTTATTTGATGAGTGAAGTGTGTTATGTATATGTTTTCACTAGTGTAGAAAAGGCAAATATTAGAGAGTAAAGAGGCACCATTTAAGGAGTTCAATATGTTCTATAGAATATCTCAATATAGTCCAAAACTTTAGGGAATCCAGAACTCAATGAGGACCTCCGAGCTGGCTAGGAGTCTATCCACCACTCCTGATGCTAGGAAGTAATCGCATGTTGTATACAACCTAAATACCCCGCCCATTATTATTAATGTCAGGTAACAAATTAGTCACCTCTCACACTCTAGAACACCTTTTAGAAGAGACCTTTTAGGAGAGACATACTCAGTGATTAGGGATACAAAACTAACAAAAATACCAGGCATACAATGAGGCATCTCCTCCTCTTCTGTATATATAACCAGGCAATGATATGCAAGCTGAATAAGTGGAACATCATTAGGAATTAGGGTACACGTACACCTTACGCACAACAACAGCAACAAATAAAGATGGTGCCAGACAAAACCAAGGTTGATCATATACATCATCAACCTATACACCTCATATCCACGACTCGAGGGACCCACAAACATGTAAAATGCTCTCTGAATCCCAGATAGATGTACACATGGACTCCACACATCACTTGAGTATCAAGGGATAGGTTATCTAGCAATTTGGGCAGAGGTGGAGTCTTCTTTGTTTGACCAGCAGCTCTCTTTGATTCCACAGTAGGCCTGTAATGAACGCTCAATTTGTAGCGTCATCGTCATGCTCTTTCCTTCGTTTTCTAAGAGTGTACAGTAGTTCTCGAATGTCTGCACACTAACTTGAAGTCTAAAATCGAGACCAAACAAAAACTTCATCTCCAGTATATTCATTTCTGCAGTGCTCACACCACCCACCCTTGCATAATATGCGTTGTTGAAAAACCTGAAAAATAAAAACTGTGTATGCTTCACACATCATGGTGCAAAAACATTTTACAATTCAGACCTTGAAAAATGAAAAGCATTGCCTCTGATTGTATTGTCATTTCCCCGGTCATATTTTTGCAGATATAATACAATGAGAGAGAGTTTGTGTGTGGCTGCGTGAGCATAAACACGCAAATAACTAAACTAGTATTCACAATACATTTTATAAAACAGTCTTTGAGAAGCATGGAATATATTTGTAATATCATTAGGGGAACTATATTTTTGCAGACATAAGGCAAATTATAGACCAAAAGAGAGAGAGAGTGTTGGCACATGTTTTTGTTAGGATATTTGCATACATAAACATGCCAACGACTTGAATAGTATTTACAAATTGCATCTTGTAAAAGAAATGAATTAATTGGTGTTGGCATATGTTTAATCCATGGACCAGCAATTTCAGAATGTCCAACATAATACACATTTAACACATGAATAAACGTTCTGCCAAAATAAAAGGCATAAAAGGGGATTTAGACGTTAAATCCTATAATAACTTCTTATTGGATCATGCTTGATTAGATTAAGAACCAAAGAATTAACTACGTTAGAATGTCTGAACACATATAACCGCAGGATCCCATGACTAGAGTACACTACAAATATATGCATTATGTATATAAACCAAGATCTGCTACCTATCCCGTCATTCAAAAATAGAGCTATATTAGGTCAAGATACAACTTTTAAAATCTTAGCAAGGTAGAACTCTTATAAAGGTAAGTCTATTTAATATCATCACATTCCCTGGTATCACGTTCCATGGTATCTAGCAGGGAATGTAGCAAAAATGAACTAAAAAGTCATCTTTTGGAATCTCACATAGTCACATTACATTGATGAATACTACATTCATGTCAGCCAAATGGCAACGTATGATATTACCTTGAATAATTTGAGATTCCTATGTCATAAGATCATGATATGAACCCAACATTCCCCTAAAAGTCAGGGGTCCCTACTTTTTAAGTATTAATAGAGTTTATCACATTATACTTCTTTGTGACATTTTTTTGGAAAATTACATACAAAATTAGTCAAGTTTAATGAAATAGGATTGTTTTAGGACCCTAGGAACTTTGGACACGTGAGTCTTAATTTTGGACAGAGGGAGTACTAACTACGGACCTTTATTATGAAGAAGTAGGTGTGTAAATGGAAGTACACAACAAGTAAATGGACTTTTCAAAGCGAGTCAAAATGAAAGTTACGAGGACATGTAAAGCAAAACTTACGCATCATCAATAAACTTTGCAGCCACCATTACACTTGTAATCAAAAGCCGATGAACATTAATGGAAGTCAAAAAAGAGCTGGTGCATTGGATGAATTTCTCCATATATATGTGTGCTACCACAAAGCAGGAGGGGCTACAACAGGCATATTTGAAGATACGGTCCACGTATTGTTGAATGCTTAGAGCGGGGGCTCTTGAACCATGGAATACGGTAACGGGATCTTTGTCTGCTATACTTGTCATACACTTTTCATTTTTCTTAACAGAATTCTCAAGAAGCATTGAAATAATAGAAAGGACTTGAGGTTTTCTTGATTTTCCCTTGCCAGATCCTTTGAGACCAAGTCTCAAGTAATTCAACGAATATGTTTCGGGTGCTAACATTTCCATTCTTGGTTATGCTGGAAGTAAATGGTGTAAAAGTCAGCATTTAATGGAGAAATGGGATAAAATTTCTAAATAACTAGATTTTACAGATGAAGTATAGTAAAATAAAGAGTGAATATTCTACAAAAAACATTTATTGATATGATCATATGACCAAGTGTAATATTCTAACTAACTGCTAAGCTGGCCAGCAATCAATACGAAAGTTAGTATCAAGTGTCACATTGCATACTCGGTGAGTAGGTGGTTCACATAATTATTTCCTAATAAAAACAGGTAATCTCTAACTAATTACTCCCTCAATTTTTATTTAACTGTCCACATTAAAAAACAATTTTTATATCTTCTTTGGGAAACAATGGAGCATTAATTACAAGTTTCCTAATAACATCCTTAAAAACTAAACACAAAAACGTTGGACAACTTGTACGATGTGTTAAATACATGAGTGTAGAACTAAAGATTTGGTAAAAAGAAATATGTTGTGATTAGTTAAAAAATCTAGTTAACCGTCTTAGAAATATGTTGGGATAAGGTGGAGAGATAAATAGCAACAGATGGAGAAATTAAACACGGAAATTAAGAACATGTTAACATTGATTGTTTCACCTTCAACCAGTATAATAGTTATTTCATAAGATTCTTTTCTAATGATGTATTAAATACTCTAACACCCTTTGGAGCAAATTAATAAAACAGACTTATACTTTCATTAAATAAGTCACATTTCACGTTGGAACACCCTTTCACTTCAGGGAACAAAGATTTTGATATTTACTCTATAAGAATGATGTATGATGTACTTCAAGAATCATGAGGATGAGGAGACATGTTTATTGAGTAGTTTTTTATTCCCAAACTAAGCCAAAGGAGTCAATAAGGTCATAAACAAAGAGTAATACTACATTCAAGTCAAACCCTTCCAATCACACATTCACACTAATGGAAAAGTTCAGCATGGTCATTACTCATTAGATGCTAAATAGTTAAAATCATAGATTTGAGTTAAACCCATACAGTTCAGTGTTACTCAACTCCTTGTCTCCTTGTATTGAACCTAGGAACTTCTCAATCGAAATGCAAGATTAAGTGAAACTCCAAGAACAAATCTGAGAGGAATTCGATTAACATGTAAACATCAAATCCAGAAAGGTCAAAACAGGGTCTTTGGCTTATAAAGAAAAAGAAAACCCAGATTAGTCATTGCAAATAAGAATGCCACACTCATACTCCATTTCAACATAAGAACAAGAAAACACGATTATGAAGAGCGTTTAACAAATCAATCAAGAAAACAAAAGACAAACGAGAAGGAAACATACATGGATGGTAACTCTTGTTCTTCAGAGATCCAGGCGCATCAATCTTCTGCAAGTGCCTCAATGGCCAATGGGTGTATACGCAGAGAGAGAGAGAATGGTGGGTATTCTCATTCCCTCTCCTCCCATCCAAAATGCTTAGCTTTAGGTCAAGAAGCTAATCTTACTTATGGGTATTGCGTATTTATTTAGGGTATGCATACGCTTAGCTGTAATTGGTGATGAATCTGCCGAGAGCCGTGACCTAGCTCACTGCGAATAAACTACAGGAAGAGAAGCTGTCGGTGAGCCGAATATCTGACATTGCCGAGAGGGGAATTGGCGGGACGTGTAGAAAGGGTCCCACACCTTCCTGTTCTCGCGATTGCAACGAACCTTCCACCGACAGCTTCACGTCTCCCAAGCTGCGACGGCACACACGGAGGCGAAAGTTTTTAATACTCTTTTCCGGAAATACTTTTCAATGATAACTAGTATAGTACCCGTGCATACGCACGGGATAGAGCGGTTGGTGCATATATTTTTTACTCATGATCTAATTAAATATTAAAATAGAAACAACTTTTTAGGATTCTACATTTTCGAAAAAAATTGTAATTCAATCAGCTAATACCTTAAAATATATATTCAATGAAGAGTATATTAGGAAAAATTAATTGACACTACTCATTAGAATTTGCTGCTTATTCATTTCCATGATTAGATTAATTTTAAAATTAAATAATAATTCTAAAAAAGTGAGTACAATAAATATTAAAATTAATGAATATTAGTTAAATAATAACTCCATTCATTAGTAGATTCGTGCTAACATATGTGAGAGAAAATTATTCTGCTCAATTCTTAGTTGGCTTATCTTGTTATATCTAAAACAATTACATATGAGAAAAAAATCTTTCACTCAATTGTTAGCCTTATTATCTTACCTTATACCTAAAAGCACTATGTGTGAGAGAAACAAATATGTTCTTTAATTGTTAGCCGACTTATCTAATACTACAAAGAACTACATATATGATGATATCCTCGCTCAATTGTTAGCAACTTTATCTTATAACTAAAAGCACTATATATGAGAGAGAAAATTTTCACTTAATTATTAGCAAGCAAGTTTATCTTGTCATATCTAAATAGACTACATATGAGAGAGAAAGTTTTCTGGTTCAATTATTAGTCGACTTATGTTATACCTAAAAGCACTACATAAGGAAGGGTAAATTTTCACGCTCAACGGTTAGCTGGATTATCTTATATACGGAGTACTTAAGAACTACCCGTAAGAGTGAAAGTTCTCTCACTCAATTGCTAGCAAGTTTATCTTCTTAGCTTCTTATGCCTAAAAATACTACATATGAGAGAGAAAGTTATCTTGCTCAATTGTTTAGTCTTCTTATCTTATACTCAGAACTACATATGAGGGAGAAAGTTATTCCTCTCAATGGTTAGCAAACTTATCTTCTACTATGTAATACCTAAAAACACTACATATGAGCAATAAAATTCTCCCGCTCAATTCTCCTTCTCAATTGTTAGCAATCTTATCTTCTAATACCTAAACACACTACATATGAATGAAAAAATCTTCTGATCTCGCTCAATTATTAGTAAGCTTATCTTTTTTTTATATCTAAAACTCTTACATATCAGAGAGAAAGTTCTCGAGCTCAATTGTTAGCTGGCTTACCTCATACCTAAAAACACTACATATGAGGGAGAGAAATTATTTCGTTCAATTGTTAACTGGATTATTTTATACCTAAAAGAAATATATATGAGAGATAAAGTTCTTTCGCTCAATTGTTAGCAAGTTTATCTTCTAATAACTAAAAGTAGTACATATGAGATAGAAAATTCTCCCGCTCAATTGTTAGCCGGCTTATCTTCTAATAACTAAAAGCACTATATATGATACAAAAATCCTCTCTCAATTGTTAGTTGGATTATGTTATAGTTAAAATAACTGCTTATTGAGAGAGAGAGAAATATCTTGTTCAATTGTTAAGACGATTTATGGCTTAATCTTTCTTATACCTAAAAGCACCACATATGAAAGAACAAATTTTTCCGCTCGATTGTTAGTTGACTTATATTACTATCTTACTGAAAAGCACTACAAATGAGAGACAAAGTTATCCCGCTCAAGTGTTAGCCAACTTATCTTATACCTAAAAACATTACATATGATAGAGAAATTTTGGCCGCTCAATTGTTAGTAGACTTATCTTATACTTAAAAACACTACAAATGAGAGAGAAACTTATTCAGCTCAATTCTCATCCAACTTATCTTATACCTAAAAACATTATATATAAGAGAGAAAACTATCCCGCATCCTTAAAGTTGTAACCTCACTCAGTGTTGCATTTACTATTCACCCGATTCCTTGAAATTGATGAAATTTTGACAGAAGTGACTGAATTGATTGAAATTGATTCTTTTGATTTATGGATGAATTTAGTTCAAATTATATATTATTAATGAAGTAAATAAAAGATTATAGGAAAAGTGGTTAAAAATTATTATGTACAGTAATTTCAGCCAAATAAGTCAATTTTTTTTTTATAAAACTAAACTTAAATATATCAAAGCACTTAAAAAAAAACAAAAATGATGAATATATATTTTCATATTTGCCCCTTCTTCCTTAAACATAAAGAATAATAAATTGAAATAAATTTAGAAGTTTTGTTTTATTAGCACTCGATGTGTTTATCATTTCAATTTGCTAATTTTATATATTCTCGAGTGACATTATAACACGAAGAAATATGGTTTGTAATAGTTTTATAGTTTAATGAAGGGAGTATAATAGAAAATGAAAATAACATTAGAGTTTTATTAATCGTAGTGTTGAAGAATTCAAATCATTTATTGTCTTCCATTTAGACCAACTCAAAACAGAAAAAAATAGACCAACTTAAATTTTATTATTAGAACTAATTAGATTTTCATTTGCGGATTTTTTATATATCAAACCAGTGCACATCAAATTATAAAATACTTTAAGAAAGTTTTCTTAAATAAATTTTAATATTTTTATATTTTTCCTTCCATGGTCTGATTTTAATTTTAAAGACCGTTTAGAAGTACTGAAATTAGTTGAAACTGTTGAAATGGATGAAATTCTGAGAGAAGAGGTTGAATTAGTTGAATCTTCTGGTGTATAAATACATTTAATTTAAATTACTTTTATTAATTAAATAAAGAAAAACATTATCTGAATTTTAAGCATAATTATAGAGATTGTTAATAAAGTATATTTTGATATATTCAAAATTGATCTCATATGTAAGATCACAAAAAATTATGAGTTTTGATTTATTTTTTTTGTAGAAATTGGATTAAAAATAAAACAGTTTTAACACTTTAAAGAAAAACATTACTCCCTCTGTCTCTAAAAGAAGTTCCATTTCTCTTATCGAGGGTCAACTTAAATCACTCTTAAACTCTTACTTTTTATATCAAAATTTTATAAAAGTTGAATTATTTTTTGCAGGCTTTGTAGCGGGTTTAATGTAGTTTCTGAATATGTAAATTTTTTTTACTAAAAATAATCCGAGTTTTCACAGGGATCATTTAACTTTATCGTCGGTCAACCTTTGTAATCCACAATTGGAACAACATTTAGGGACAGAGGGAGTATATCAAATGTAGCTAAAAATGATCACTTACAATAACTTCCCCAATTCAGAGAGCAAAATAGATCTAAAAATGTCTATAAATAATTTTAAGCATAATTATATAGACCGTTAATAAATTATATTTTTATATATTCAATATTGACCTCATATGAAAGATCACAAAAGTTTATGAATTTTGATATATTTTTTGTAAAAATCGGATAAAAATGTCTTAAAAGGCACATGTGCCACTGAATTAGTACCCGTGCATACGCACGGGAAGAAACAGTCGATGCATATATTTTACTTATGATTTAATTAAATATTAAAATTTAAAAAAAACATTTTAGATTTCTACATTTTCGATGAAGAGTATATTAGGGAAAGTTAACAGACACCACTCATTAGAATTTGCTACTTAATAATTTTCATGATTATAATAAATACTACGTATTAAAATTAATACTACTCTAAAAAAGTGGTTACAATAAGTTAGTGACATGAAGTGAATACAATAAATATTAAAATTAATGATATTACTTAAATAGTGATTTGTTACTCATTGGTTAAATTAGTGCTAACATATGAAAGAAAAAATTACCTTGCTAAATTGTTAGATGATGTTTTATCTTATAAGTAAAAGAGCTAAGTATGTATATGAGACATAATTCGCCCACTCAATTGTTAGCCAGCTGGCTTATCTTATACGTTGTATTAGAAGAAACTCTTCCGCTCAATTTTTAGCCATATTATCTTCTTATATACCTAAAAGCACTGCATATCGGAGAGAAAACTTTCCGCTCAATTGTTAGTCAGATGATAATACTAAAAAGAAAAAATATGAGAGATAAAGTTATTTCTCTCAATTGTTAGGAATGTTATCTTCTTATTTTCATATACTTAAACACAGTACATATGAGAGAGGAAATTATCTTGTTCAATTGTGAGCCGACTTATCTTATATTGATACTTAAAAGAACTACGTTTGAGAGAAAAAATTATCCCGATCAATTGTTAGTAAACTTATTTCTAATCTTCTAATACTTATAAGCACTACATATGAGAGACAAAATTTTCCCGCTCAATTGTTGGTAAGCTAATGTGGTGTACCTAGAAGCACTACATATGAGAGATAAAATTCTCATGCTCAATTGTTAGAAAGTTTATCTTCTTTAACTTAAAATCACTACACATGAGAGAAAAAAATAGCGCTCAATTGTTAGCCGGCTTATCTTGTAACTAAAAACACTAAATATGAGAGACAAAATTCTTCCGCTCAATTGTTAGCAGACTTGCCTTATAATTAAAATAACTACATATGAAAGAGAAAGTTTTCTCGCTCAATTGTTAGCAAACTTATTTTCTCATACCTAAAAGCACTACATGTGAGAGAAAAACTCTCCTGCTCAATTTCCCTACTCAACTGTTTGCAAGTTTATCTTCTAGTATCTAGTAGATACATATGAGAGAGAGAGAGAGAGAGATTATTTTGCTCAATTATTAGCAAGATTATCTTCGTATAATTAAAAGGCTAAAACCACTACATATGAGAGATAAAATTCTCCCGCTCAATTATTAGTCAACTTATCTCATATATTATACTTAAAAGAACTACACATGAGAAAGAAAGTTCTCCCGTTCAATTGTACTTCGTAATAATAATAGGGAAATTGCTCTAAATAGGAGTAAACAACTCTGGGAATTCCAAAATAAGACCACTATGTTATTCTTTCTGAAATAAGAGTTGTTGCTGTCATGATTGAAAAATATTGTCATTAATTATAATAAATACTGTCATGTTGAATGCATAGTACT